CTGAGTAGAGTCAAGTACCACTGGAGCTTTCTTTCATAAATCTCCATCTCCTCTTGGCAGTAGAAAGGTTTGATCAAGAGCATGTGATTTTTCCCTGGACTCGCCGTACTGACTTCCAAGGTATGTCTGTCAGAACATCTCTGAGTCCCCTATACCTTCGTGTTTCTCTAGGACTTGTTGCCCCTTCCCCAAATTAGTAGTCGGTCTGGGACATGGGAGGGGACCGAGTCTTTTAGAAACCCTTGGGTCATTGATCTTCGAGCTTACATGGATGAGATTGTCTCGACGTTGCTTTAGGAAGTCTCGACAGTCGCGAAAGACGGCTTTCAATCCTTCCACTCCTTCTGTAAGGAGGTACCTTCCTCCACTCCTCCTACTTCTGGTCGAAGCAGCTGGGTTGAGAGAAGTCTCATGTTGGTCGCCATTTCGATGAGTAGCTTGCTCCTTTACAGGAATACCCATGTTGAGGGCAAATGACCCTCCGTAATTGGGGGGCACCCAGTTGGTGGTTGACTTCAACAGGGGTGATGAGCTCGTGTGTTTTAGTATATCTAGCCTCGTGGAGCATCTCGAAGACCTTCTCATACTGCTCTTGGAAGATCTCATTTTTCATCGCTATCTTGTTGTTCTGAGCCTCCAGCTCATCGACTTTAGCCTGAAGAGCAAACTTCTTTTGTTCCTTCTTTCGTTGTTTTGCACCAGGTGCAAGAGGGGTGTCATTATGTGTGTTGTGGCTTCCTTCGCTCCCCATGTTGGAAAGGGATGCCTGGTCAAAAGAAAGTGTACGAATGGTGGAAACCAGCTTAACAAAGCTGAAGAGAGTGGGAATAAGTGTCGTTCTCACAGACGGCGCCAAATGTTGATGAACAAAATCAGTCGGGACTTTGGTACAACAAAAAGTGTTAAGTTTGTGACCTTCGCTAGATTGCTCCGGTCACTAGTGTGGATAAGTATGTAAATGGATAGGGACAGGGAAGCAAACATAAGATGTACGTTGTTCACCCAGATTGGCTACATCCACGGAGTAGAGGAGTTCTCATTAATTGTGAAGGGTTTACACAAGTACATATGTTCAAGCTCTCCTTTAGTGAGTACTAGTGAATGATTTAGTACAAATGACATTAGGAAATATTGTGAGAGAATGATATCTATTATAGAATAGAGTTTCTAGTTTCATTCTAACATTGACACGTGTCGTGTTGTGATTGGCTTCTGATGTTGACACGTGTCGCGCTATGATTGGCTTCTTATGTTGACACGTGTCGCGCTGTGATTGGCCTCCTGGTTAGAGGGAAACTCTTCTGGGTCCTTGATGGTATAACGTTGACCGGTGCTCAGTAGTTTCGGGATTGGTCAAGTATGGTACAAACAAACACAATTTGACAAATCTAACCAAAGTATACTATGAACTTGAAATGCAGAGTAATCCTGGTGAGCAATGCCAGTACAAAACCAAACTAAGACTTCAATAAACACCCATTAAACTAATTCGAAGTCAAAAAGTGTCAAACATTCAAATTTCAAACAATCAACTAAAGGGCATAGAGTACAAACTAAGAGATTCACTAACTGGCGTGCAACCACCATTTGTTCACCAGAATTAAACTAAACTCACCACATCCGCAAATACCAATTACCCAAATCAATAATATAACAAGAAATATTTCAGAAAAAAAGTTCGAATACAGATGTGAGGGATTCATGAATTGAATAATCAAATGGACAACGAAAGCACCTTGACGAGGCAGAGGATTCCCTGTGCCGTTGAACTTTCCCTACTTTTTCCTCCCCCTTCAATTTTTTCCACTTATTGTCATAGTATTGAGGATGCAGATATAATTGTTTATTAAGTTAATCACTACGATCAACACTCAAAAAAAAAAAAAAATTATTACCTTTTAGTATTAACACGTTATACAATTAGTTAAATAATACAACTTACATACAGAGTTTCACAATACTTGTGAAGAGCTCAAAGGTCAAGCGAAGCTAACCCTTCCCTTTTAGGGTATTTTGATCATTTCATAATAAATGAATTATTTCCCACAAAAAAGTAGGGATGGGTTATAACAATCTATTTTTCTTAAGAAAATTTCATTTCCAAAATTTCTACCACATAATTACAAGAAAATATAGGGATACTAAGTTCGCATATAACCTTCGATTCACATGTAACTTTCTTGACTTCATGATTACTCCATTACTTTCTACCACATAATTACCAGAAAAGATAGGGATACTAAGCCATTTTGGCATTTATACTACCAAATCACATATTAAGTTGTTTGCGAAAAATTACTTGTGTCTTAAAAGAAACATATTTCAAGGCGCTCTTTGCAACTCGTATGCTAAAGTGCTTCACCATCAACATGTGCCTTTGGAGACTAATGTCCCTACTAAGTGTAGGGGTGGGTTCAAAAAACCAAAAAACCGAAAAAACAAACCGAACCGAATTATCAAAAATCGAACCAAACTGAAATTGGTTGGTTTGGTTTTGGTTTCAATGATTTAAAAACTGACTGAACCAAACTAAACCAATATTTAATTATTTTATATAATATTCAAATGAATTATTTTATATATTTAATTCTTCTCTCTCTCCTCACTTTCCCTCTCTGCCTTTCAAGGGCTCTTTTTTTTTTTTTTTTTCTTTCATTTGTTTGTTATGTTGTTTTCTATGTAGTAAAATGTCCTCATATTTTTTTAGTCCAACATTAAGTCCTTATAATTTCAACATTAAAATCCTCATCAGTGGCCTTCTCTCTAATAAAATCCGCACACTGTGAAAGAAGCTGAAAATTCTCTCACGCTGCACTTCGTTTTTTGGTCCAACATTAAAATCCTCAGAAACCTCATGCTCCAAATTCGTCTTGTCTCTGAATCTCTCACTTTCTTACAACTTTTGTAGCCTGGCTGGGTTGACTCATTTGTTTGAAAGGTAACGTTTTGTCTATTACTTAGAATTATGGATGTTTGATTTGGTTAAAAAATAAAAAATAAAAACTGAACCGAACCGAAACCATACCAAAATAAACCGAATCGAAAATAAATCGAGAAAAACCAAACCAAACTAGACCAAATAGTAAGTTCGTTTTGATTTTCGGTTTTGGACAAAAACCGAACCGAATGGAACCGAACCCACCCCTAACTAAGTGTGAATCTCACATCAGGAATTTCAAGCCTTATCTAGTATCAAACCCAACGATCCATGTGCTCTATCTTATTCAATATCTGTTGTGTATGTATTAAGCTCAAATGACTTCACACATGAGATGGCGTGTTAAGAATGAAAATTGAAAACTAAATGATTATCAAAACACCCATAAATTTTCAAAATTTAGCTTTCAATTTTTAAAATAGTTACCAAACTAGTTTTCAGTTTAAAAAAACATCAAAACTATAAAATTAAAATTAAAATTAAAAATTAAAATCTAAACTAAAAACTGACAAAATTGTTATCAAATGGCTCCTAAAACTAAAAATTCAAAATTCAAAGCAAAATGGTTATCCAACGGATGAGATTTTCGATCTTTCATTAAATTTGGTCTATCTGATTTCGAAGAAGGTTTAGTTCGAGGCTATGCTGCTTCTAAGCTATCCTCACTTTCACGGCAAGAAGTCCATAGTAGTGTTTGGGGCTTCATAGGACCATTAGTTTCCAAACTTCTAAAACCAAGTCAATTTGAGAACTATTTTTTTTTTCAATTGGGAATGATAAAAGTGTGAAAACGATGGTGATTGTTCTTCTTGGTGTGAAAATTACAAAACCAAGACTAAAGACAACTTGTTCTGGCCATATATAAAAATAAGGTATGCTACAGGGTTAATCTATTTTTATTTACTAAATGTTGCGTAACTCCGGCCAACCAACTTCAAGGCCTAATCCGGGATCCTATCCTAGGGATCAAATGGTTGACTCTCATCACTCTACTACCATATGAGAGATTAAACTCGACCTTCCCTAAAGTCCGTATACCACGCAGATGACCAAACCCGAGAATATCTTGTCTTCTTAAATACCGATGAACGCATCATCTGACAGGTTGATGCCACTACAACACTCGTTCGAAATGATACAGGACATAACTAAAGGCAACAAACCAAGAATTGCAGTCATTGTCAATGTCAATTGACCAATCTACCTCGGCTCCAGCTCAGCGATGAGATTGAGATTACTTCTCCTCCACCGCTTATAAATAAGGCCAAAGTCCTTCAAGTTCAGGACCTTCATCAAACAATCTTTACGATTATATACCTCAAGTGATTCTTCAATCAATCCAACTGCTTTTCAACATAACCCAAATTGCTCTTCAGCATAACCCCTAGCTCTTCAGGTACAGTCTCAAAGCCTTCATTCGAAGCAAACATTGCCTACAATCCTTGAAATCCAACCACTCTTGAACTCCTTTATGAGGCATATGTTTCTTCTTCAGTCCACTCTGATACCAACGACCTCAGTGGACTCGGTTTACTCCTCTAGCATTATTTTACTCTTCATAGCCTAGGTCATTCTAGAGACTAATGATTTTCTATATGTTTTCTGTCTATTTACTTATCAAGTTATGTAGATCGACTCATCAACCCCTTAGATCTTTTTGCAATTGACTGCAATCATTACTTCATTATGAAATGATTACATTTAGTTTCTTGTTTTAGTTTCTATTTCTCTCTCATTTACTCTTAGGCAAATACACACAAATCACATTGAATTCTAAATCCTCAATTGCTCGAGGCACAATAAAAAATTTAACCGAACTAGCATCCCACTCGGTGTACAATCTTTTGGTTAAGAAGTCAGTTCTACGCACGAACTTCACATGCCTGTTGTCAACCTTCCAACAGTGACATGCTTGTTTTCACTTTCTCTCAAGTCTTCCCACGCACTGAAAGCGTAAGCAACACCAAAATACTCAAAATAAATACGTGTTGAACTTAGTCAGACCCTATTCAAGTTTTTACACCAACACTACCAAAAATTAAATAGAATACGAGCACAACCCTTTCACCCAACGATTTGAAATGATTGATTGAAGTAGCCCAAGAAAATTCATAAGGTTAAGTTGCAATCGTATAAGCAGAGTGTGGGTGAGCAAGGGCCCACGAGTGATCCTCTCCTTTTGACACGGTCACCACTCAACACTCAAAACCACAAACATGTTTCTAGAAACAAAGAAAAATAATAATCAGAGATAGAGCAGCCAAGATATATTATACGTCGATGGGAGCAGCCAAGATATATTATACGTCGATGGGATCGATGACAGTTAAAATTAACTAATTGTCAGCATAATATCAGCTGGTTACGTGCATGCATGCAATGCAGGCGTTCTTGGCTCTTCGATGACTACAACCTCTATAACTCGAACTTTTTGCAATCCTCAGATTACAAAGCCTTGGTTCAGAAAAGCCCCAGCCACCCAATGTTTCAAATTTGGCAAGTTGATGATGCCCTGCTCGCAATCCTTTGCCTGCTTTAACAAGTATTAACAAATAGTTAATTAGTGAAAGATTGAAAACTTGCTGACAAAGAGAGGAGTAACGGTTTTCACACTCATATTTTGTACCTTTTAAAAAAAAACATTTATGTTTTTATTTCCCTACATCTATTGGATAATTGGATTAACAAAGCAGGAGGTTAAATCATGTACACAGATAATTACATGAAGTGTAATTAGGATTGTAAAAATTGCCAACCAAGGACAAAATAGAATATCATATTGTACTGATATATACATACATTCAAAGTGAATGCGAATTCAAATCTGTCTGCTGAAACCGTGTTTAAGTTAGAACTCTGAACATTGAAGCGTGCAAGAGATTCGAGAGCCTTGTAAAGTGCTGTAGCTACTACTTGTCCCTTGTTGCATGTCACCTTCACATAAAAACCTTTTTCCTCCACTTGAGACACGTCTATCTGCAGAAAGGCATGATACGTAATTAAGTACAAGGGCAAATTACTTTATTTTCGGAAATTAATAGCTAATAAATTACAATCACAGTGGTTATAGACCTGAATGATGCCTTTAGAAGCTAAATGGTTATTGTCTGAAACTTTTTTCTTGTTTTTAGTTTTGGTTGATCCTTGTAGATATCCTCCTGCTAATGATGCTTCAAGGTTTGCAATCTCAGCATTTAACTTCTTAGCATGCATTTGCAAGTCTTGTACATACAATACAGCATCTCGAACAATGGAGGCCTTGTCCATCTGTGCATATATCTCCAAAAGATTAAACAACAATCGTGCTTGCATAATTTGTTTGTTCTTCATAAATATCGTTGTACAACTCATACTTCAAACCGAAAGAGCCCGTTTTGATAAGAAAAAACAAAAAAACAAAAAAATGTAGGACACAGTACTATTAGAAGTTTTTCAATAAAACTAGCAAAATTTTACCTATAATGCTAGTTTGTACAATGGTTTTCAGGAATAAAACAAAAAAAAAGGGTATGGTCCACGTGTTATCACATATTGGCAGAGTAAAACTTGCACTGCAGTATATAACTTACTTCTACGGTACCAACACTTACCTTAGTTATGTTAGGAACCAAGGACCGCAATGCATAGAGCCTTTCCTTCATTCTCCCCCTCCTCTTCCTCTCTGACACCAAAGTTCGTGACCGATCAACCTTTTGCCTCTTTGTTGTCGTCGTGGTTGTGTTTGTGTTTGTTGTTTCTGACACAAAAGTGCTCGGGTCAGGTAGAAATGCATCATTGAAACCAAACATAGGACTTGGAGGAGTAGTACTAGCTGGACCGAACAGGTTATAATCATCCAAGCAGCCATTGATCATAAGTTCACAATCAAAATTAGCTATCGGATCTTCACCTTCGCCACCGCGAATAAGATCAATGAATTGATCAAGGTTTGCATCATCTATGAAATCATGTAACTCAGAGCTGTCGATGTTATGACACTCTAGATGGTTTCCAAGCGCATCCATATTCGTATTCTTTGTTTGATGGTGCGATGCAGCTGGTAATTGTGTGCCATTTAGTATATAATTATATACAGAATTCGTAGATGTGAGTTCCTGTTTACGTTAAGTGTGAAAGGAATCAGATGGGGGTTTCTTATGACGTTTGAAGCTGTAGTTCTTGATATAGTACAAAATACTATTGGTCATATATATGTGGACTAAATGATGTAATTTACATAAAATAAACCACCAAATAGGCATCAAAGTTCGTTCACACTGAACGTTACTATAATAAAATCAATACTAAAACCCTGGACTATTCTTCTTTTGATTAAACTACAGTAGTTGAATTGAAAATGAACTAAGATAAGGAACCGGGTCCCCTCCGGATCCCCAAAAACTGAGTTTAAGGAGCAATGAATCTGGGCCATTGAAATTTGATCCAACGATTACAATTATTATAACTTTTAAAGGCTCCCCTCTATTTGTAGTCATTGAATCAAATTTTAATGGTCTGGATTCTTTGCTTAGGAGGCTCATTTTTTGGGGATCCGGTTCCCTTAGATAAACCTCTATTATTTGGGGAATTGGATCCTCTCTTGAGCAAAGGCTCGGGATCCTCTTGACTCAATAACACGGGCCATTGGATTTTGATTCAACGGCTAGAAATAAGGGGCCCCTCTAAAAGTTATAATAATTGTAGCCGTTGGATTAAAATCTAACGGCCCATGTTAGTGGGTTAGGAGGATCCCGAGCCTTTGCTCAGGAGAGGATCCAATTCCATTATTTGGATTAGGCCACAAAAATCATGCTTATGTCAAATGTTTTCAAAAATCATATTCTCCTTTCGAATTTTAAAGTTCCAAAAGCTATTATTATTATTATTTAATTTTTAGTAGACCAATAAATTTTTGAAATCATACATACCTGACAAATTTTTTTGACAAACAATAGCGTCAATGAGTTAAATTGTTAGTTTTTAGAGGGAGTGGATCAGAGGGAATCAAACCTGCACCATAGTGCATAAGCATGATTGCTTTTTGGCACTACGGTAAAGCGTCATCTTCTATATATTATTTCACACTCTTTGTTCATTTATGTCATTTGATCTTCTTTAATTCATTCGACTCGAATATGTGTGGAAGATAAAAAGAGGTGTGTCGATAGGAACAATGCTTGGTTACTCAAGGATGAGTATGAGCTCCTAATCAAAACTAATCGTTTTTGAATCACATAGTTTTGTGTTTATGATCAAAACCGTTCATATTATGAATCACTTTGTAAAGATCATTTTTACAAAAATTGAATTAAAACTAAGATTGTTTAGTCAATCTATTGTAGCAAATACATAGACGGTTTGTGATGCTTTTACTAATTTCGTTCATATGTTTTTATACAATTCAATAACTAAATGACTTTAGTTTTAATTGATTTTTTTTGCAGATGCGATCTTTATAAATTGATTTATAAATATAAATAGTACTAACCATACATATAGAGTTTTCTAAATCGGTAACGAATAAGATAGAGTTTTCTAAATCGGTAACGAATAAGTAGGAATTCATCTTATTTTTAAGTAGTTAAATATTATTCCGTGGCAGCATCAATTTCTTTTTCTTGAAACTCTCATACCGTGTTTAGCGCTAAACCCTCACTATTCGGCACGATGTGCTAGACACATAATAATCTTCTTCAAACAAATCGTGACTCGTGACATTCAAATTATTTGCATACATAAAAATATTATAGAAATATTAGATGCTTATTTGACTTTGAAAGAGAGCTATCTTGCGTCACTCGCTATGTCATTTCAGCTCGGGATTAATTGGGGGCATGGCCCATGACGGTCGGACAATGTTTTTAATCTTTTTTTTGTCAATCATATAAACTGATTAATTAAGCTTAACATTTTATTCTCATTACTCTGCCCCTCCAAAGTCGGAATGGATTCTTTTTTTTTTTTTTTTTTTTTTTTTTTTTTTTGGTAAAATGGTAAATATATTACCACAAGAAGCAAACAAACTTACAAACTTACAAACTATATAATCAAAGTTCCAAAGACAAAAGGACATAGACAAGCCAAGCAAACCAAACCAAAGCCCAACCAACAACGTGGGCCCAAAAAAAAAAAAAAACAAAAAGAAAGCCGAGAATTCAGCAGTAACCACTGCTGCAATAGTATTTCATGATTCGCCCAATTCCACGCCTCCAACCAGTGGCGGAGCCACTAAAGGACAAGGGTAGTCATGGGCCTATCCTGCAATTTTTTTTTCCCTTTTCTATGTATAAGATATAGCATAACCTCCTTTTATTTCTGATAAGTTTAGTTGCAATCTTGAAATTCATGGATTTGGGATTCTCTTATTCTAGTTATAATGATGTAGCTTCTTCAACTTGTTAATTACTTCACATTCATCTTTGGGTGGAGGAGATTAATTTAGGTCGAAGTTTTTGACCGTGGTAATTGAATCTAATTGTCAGGATTTATCACTTACTCTAAGAATGTTGGCTGATATTTTTCTTTCTTGGCTTGAACTTCTAGTCCATCTGCTCTTAAATATTAGTTGGATTATGTGACTATATAGTTGATGCGGTATGATATTTTCTGAGTTGAGATAAATAAATCGAAATACAACCCATCTATCTTGTATTTTAGGCATTAAAAAAATAAAATTTCATATTTGTAAAATGCCCCCCGTGATGTAAGATCTTGGCTCCGCCACTGCCTCCAACCTCATGCCGACTCATAGATCATAGCACCCAACCCCAAGCACCACCTCGTACGCAACCTCAATTGAAGAAATCAAGCAACCAGAAGAAGAATTTTGTCTACCAGATGAAAGAAGTCCGTGAAAATCCACGAGCAACACTGCCAGCAAAGGTAGACATAAAGAAAGTGGTGGTGTTGGGAACATCCGAGCCTAGGCAAGCACCGAAACTCTACACACCATCTCAGTAAAGCATGAATGCAGATTGGAGTATGGATGAACAAGGAAAAGGGACGCCAATGGGATAAGAAGAAAAGGGCAAGATGAAATAGAGAGCAGGGGAAATGCAACCGAAGGTAGGAAGAGGAGACAACGAAAGGAAGGAGAGAATGGCTAACCAACCCCAGCCGAAGCTAGGGTCTACGTTATGGTGAATCCACTTTCTTTTCTAATGGAGTAGGATTTTCTCCCCTCCTTTTTTCCCTCCCCTCCTTTTTGAACGGTCACGGTTAAGCCGTGTCAACATTTTATATTATTTTTTTATAGAAAAAGAAAGAGAAAATAGAGAATTTGAGAGGAAGGGATGGAAGGAGATGGAAAGAGGATGGGAGAGAATCCTAGTCCTTTTCTTATAGCTTCTCGGTTACGTAGTACTTTTTTCTTTTTTTTTTCCAATGTTACGTAGTACTTTCAAGCTTTCTATTTTTGCGGTTTTATATTTGTTGTTATTGTTGGAAAATAATAAGTTTAGGGTTTGGGCCCCGTCCGTTCAAATTAGGTTTTCGTTTCGACATTAGAGTTTAGTTTATTATAAATGGTATGCTTGTTATTTACTTGTAAATAAGTCAATCTAAGGGATGGTTTAGGAGTGAGGTGCTTAAAAAAAAACACACATGAAAAAAAACTGTGAGGGTTTTAGGTGTTTGGTAAACTAAAAAAAAATGGCTTATTTTGAAAGCTGCTGTGAGAATAAGCTAAAATCAAAGGAAAAGCTGAAGCAGCTATTTGCAGCTTTGGAAAACCGGTTTTTTTTCAAAGCACACGGAGCTACAGTACTCCTTTAATGAAAAGACCCACTATCAGACTGCTTTTTTTTCCAAAAGCACTTTTACAAAAAAGTTTACCAAACATTCTGCTGATTGATTTCACAGCCGCTTATTATCACAGCACAGCCGTTTATTCTCACAACAATTTTTTTTCAAAGCATAGCAATACCAAACCAGCCCTAATAGTTCTCAGTTTGTAGCCGTCTCGACATTCTCGTTTATTTGTATTTTGTTAATTAAATAATGTTCGTAGTTATATTTCATTTGGTCGTCCTTTGGTTTAGTTTCAACTTGGTATCAAAACAAGTTTGATTCTTAAAGGTTTTATTTGCTTCTGTTTTCTTCATATCAATTTATCTGTTTCCATTGTTGTTTTGTCCAGTTTCGTTCCGGCAAACTTTTTTTGTTTTCTGATTTAAGTTACCCTTTGTTTGTCGTTCATAGTCAGAGAAAAAAAAAAGATTATGTTGAAGTCTGGAGCTGAGTTGCATCGAACTAGCTGTCATTGAAATCAATTGTTGTGCACCACCATCTTCTAGCAAAACCAATTATGTCTTTGCCTAGCACCACCATCTGCAAACGTAGCTGGCTGAATCGCATGATTGACCTGCATCCAACCTGACGTTACCTATGATCAACTGTTGTCGATCAACACTATCGCACCACCACCAACCTAGAAATCTAACAAGTCAAGTCTCGACGAACCCGGATCTCCCAACGCCAGTCGTCATGAGGAACACTTTATGAGGAACACAATTTCCTTACGTTCTTGCATACAAATCAATTTCGTTTGAAGTGTGGTTGGACTAAAAGACCAGGGCAATTTTTCACTTTGGCCCCAATCAAGTCTCAGCATAAGAGAATTATCAACTTGGCCAAGGAAGAAGTTAGGTCACTTATTCTTTCATCTGAAAGGGAAAATACGGTTAGCCTGGAAGAACAAATTAAAATTTCTTAGCCAAGTAAAAAATTGATTCAGAAGGCAATTTGACAACCAAGGCCGAAACACGAGCTCAGACGCAAAAACCATGTCAATCGATATGGTTATTGGAGATAAATTCAATGTGGAGCAATCTTGTTCGGCTGAGTTGTTTGAATTAAAAGACGAAGTTGGTGAAGTAATTATGCTTGGGGGCCATAACAATTCGAATTACTTTATAGCCGAAAAACAAAAGAATTTAAAGATTGCCGTTCGTTATTTCACATCAACTTCTGAAGCAATATTATATTGAAAATGGTCATATGCAAAGATCTCGACTCAAAATAAAGCATCGTTGGCCTCCTATTCATTATGGTTTGGCCACTTTATATTCGTTTGTTAAAAATAATAATAAATATGATAATTTCATTTTCTTAACCATTCGGATGTTCGACCGATGCTTAGGAA